ATTTGTGTGTGTGCCAGTAACCTTGTCTGTGTTTGTCATTGAGATTGTCTGACCCATATTGTTACAAAGAGGTCTATGGAACCTCAAACTAGTTACATGGGTACCTCCATCGAAATATTTTTATCAAAATTTCTTTATATAACGCAGAGGCTCAGTAGTCTGTAGTTTCTGGAGTCACATAAACTTAATAGAGAACATAGTCAACGAGTCATTAATTATCTACCAAGGTCGACATCAATCTATACTACCTATCCAACAACAGTATATTCAAAAAGGGAAAAACAAATATATCTATTACCCAGGCAGCAGAGACAAGCCATACCACTTATGGAGAATCGAACCTAGATGAATACTGGTCACAGTGGGTATATACGTGGGTTGCCTATCCCCCAGGGTGGGCACCCAATCACAACCCTCTACACGTGACCGTATCAAATGTATAAAGGAATGCACACCTATTACATAACAGCATAAATAGTGTGAGATAAACATCAGGCTGTATGCCTATCCCCCAGGGTGGACATTGCAGTACCACTGTTTCTACACACTAATTCATATATATAAAACACCCTACATAGCACAATGACTTATGGGGCTGGCAGATATTTTTTTCCAGGGCTGCTTCGTATCCCCAGTCCGGCCCTGAATACCAACATCTTGTGAGTAACACATACTAGTAACTAAGTTTCTTAATAATTTGTAGCTACAATGTAGTTATAATACAAAAATAAGGTATAAATAATTATACTAGACAAGTGGAGCGCTCTAAACAATGAAAGGGTTTACTCACCCCCTTTTAGTGCAATCAAATCTTGAGAAACTTACATAGACATAAAAGAGGGAACAAGAAAAACAAAAAATATAGTGCAGACGGTTTATCCAAATAGACAGTTGATGGTAATAAATGACTTAAACCACTCACATGGACAGGAGCCTATACAGTATTGGCTCCATAAAAAAGGTCCTTTATGCTCTTTGGGCAGCAAACACCCCTTTGTCCCAGGCAGTATCACTCCAGGAGTATACAACGAGAGAGAAAACAGAGAAGCAACTGTGTAGAAAAGCATATATAAAAGAGGTATAAATAGGGGGCGGGGCCGGACCGCCGACGGGATCAGACGTGCTCTGTCTGAGCTCCCGCTTTGGGGCCGGAAAATCGGCGCAAATTGGGGGCAAAATCTTCCCAGCAACCCGCAATGGAGACTAAACGGAGCCCCAGATCCTGGGGCACGAGGAGAAACCCCTCACGATCCGGTCCGGTGCCTACAGTAACCCGACAACGGCCCGAGGCATGTTGGAGCTTGAGCCGGGATGAGACGGCCGCTCTCCCGGGTCTCCGGTTGGTGTCCGGCCCTCCCCCCCCCCTCTGGTCCGGGGGGGTCATCCCGGTCCATATAATCAACCACTATTACGCCAAGCTGGGCAGAAAACAATCACCCCGCTGGGAAACACTCACCAGCAGCACCCTCCCAAGATGGCCGCCGCACACCAGCCACGAGTGCAAACTACCCACAGGATGGAACTTGCACACAGACGAAACCATCCAGCGCCATCTGACCACCACAGTAATCATCTCCAGGGATGTGTCGGCCCACTACACTGGGCTAATCAAGGTGATGTTCGCAGCATATGTATTTGGTGGAAAAACCCCTTTGTGCCTGAGGAAAGCACCTGAGGCCTACCCTATCCCTCCTGGAGGACACTACAGTAGCTGCAGCTGCATCCACGCTTAACCTGTGCGACAACCTTCAGAGCAAGCACACTGCCAGCATTGGGTATCGATTAAACAAACCCACCAGGCTATATGCTGGCTCACTGAGCAGACCAACAACGGGTATCGGATGAAACCCTGACTACTGGACTCCCACCCATGCTGGACTGAAACCGGGTAACCAGAAAGGTCACTACTTTGGGACTCCTTAAGCTGCCTATGACGACCTGAGATTTCCTAGATTGATTTATCTTTACCCTAGCTAAGATACTATCACTTAAAAGCGTCTATACATATGTCTGTTTTCGCTATAATCTTACACATTTCGCACTCAGTTTAGGACACAAAGTGAATTCCTAATATAATGCTGCAAAATGTGCGATGACCCTACTTAACATAAGCGACTTGACCCAACGTGAATAAGTACATAGGGTTTGGTGTATGCTGGAGGGTACCGTGACAGATATTAATGTGATGAAAACTTACAAAATAAGCATGACAAAAATGTGTTCACAAAGCAGATTAACCGTAAGGGTTAGCCCAATATGATGCTGCTAATCGCTGCGACACATAGGCCTTTCGGTAGCCAGACCTATCTTTGACATGGCAATGTAGGCATACCTCCTTCACTAGACCAGTCCTTACACCTAACTCGAAGACACACTAGCAATGTTTAATTGAATGCCTTACATACTCTTTGACCTAATCCTGTTCACTAAATTACAAAAACGTGCTGAGTTAACTTACGCCACGAAAATGTTTTAATATGTTATATTTGACTGCGTCTGTTACAGCTGTTGTGGCTACACAGACACTGTTGTAAATTCTTGCACGACAAAAATAAAGAATTAAAAAAAAAAAAAAAAAGAGGTATAAATAGTAGTGCTCACCTTTTCCAGAGCTCTGAAATCCCCGCTCTCGGGTTAGAAAGCAATGTGCTATTTTTGGGGGGGAATAGCACTCTCCCCAATCGAGTTCCTGATGGCTAGAAAGGACATTGGACTAAAGTATAAAATAATAGTAATGTATATATTTATTAACAATAAAAACAAAATAAATACATACTAGAAAATAAAAAATCAAGTTGAAGTCCAATTAAAAGTCCAAAATAATCAGCTAAACACGTTTCACTCTATGAGCTTCCTCAGTAACTGTTTAGTAGCCTCAGGAATCCTGCTTCTTTTTAAATGTTTGGAAGTCCTTTTGAGTCCTCCTCTTGGAGTCACATGGTGTGTAATTAATCAATGTGTTGAGAAAAAAAAATCTGTGGTGGAAAAATTCTCATTTGCTGACAACATTGTCAATCATCAATAATGTTTCATGTTTATTGGCAGTAACACAATTTGCATAACCAATCACATGTATGGTTGGCGGATATTATGTGCAAAAGTTATTAAAATAACCTACATACTGAGGATTATATTTAGTATAAAACTAGTTGAATGAAATAATTAAAAACTAGTTAAATTAAAATATCGAGCGTTGATCGGGGGGAGCACTTCCATTGACGTCACCTAAAGCAGTGCGTCTCAACGAATATTTCCCCCGACAACGCCCACAAAGCGGAACCATTGTCCGGAGGAAAAAGGTCCAGGGGGAGACAATAAGTAAGGCACACCTTCTGGTGGTGTCTACGCCCACCAGAAGTGTCGTGCCGGAAAGAAACTAGTGGGGAAGAAAATCAAGCGTCAGACGGGGGAGTACTTCCAAAAGTTGTGCAACCAGAAGTGACGTGTCAAAAAATAGAGCGCGATCATTTGTAACTGTCAAATAAAGAGTAATTAGTAAAAGCAATCTGCTCGCATATGTTTTAATGCAAGGCCTCCATTTTGAAAGAGGGCATAATGGGGGGAAAAAAGGAGAGGTACAGTCCCATCAAGGAGGGAAACATTTCATTATGTAAAAGATCAGTGGGAGAAAAAAGGGAGAAAAAAATAAATAGGAAAATGAAAATATGAGTGAGAAATAAAATAAAATGAAATAAAATAAAATAGAAAAAGGAAGAAAAAATATATATGAAAATAAAATAAAAATAAAAAGTAAAAAAGAATAAAAAATGGGAATATGGTAATATTTCTAAAAATAAAATAAAAAACAAATATAAAATAAAATAAAAATGGAAATACAAACAATAAAAAAAAATGAAAATATGAAAGGATAAAATAAAAATAGAAATAGATATAATGATTATAATGGAATTTAATAGCAATGGGTATAAATGTGCAATTGAAAATAAATAAAAATAAATAGAAATAAATAAAGAGTGATTTAAAGTAAATATGGAATTAATAATATAGAGTTTAAAGGAAATGGCATAGTTCGAAATCAATGTTCAAACCATTGGGTTGTAAGGTCCCAAGGTTGAACATCCATCTCATTTCTTGTTGTCCTAAAATTTGGTTGAAGTTTCCCCCTCTCCAGTTCCCTAAAACTTTGTGTATACCAGTAAAGGTCAGTCCTTTAGGGTTACTGTTGTGGGAGGTCTTGAAGTGATTGGAGGCACTATGTCCCTCATATCCTTTCTTAATATTTCTGATGTGTTCCTCTATCCTTATATGTAGGTTACGTTTAGTACGGCCTATGTATTTTAGGCCGCATGGACATTCCAACATATAAATAACATTTTTAGAATGACAGGTGATTAAACTCTTTATGTGGAATTCCTCATTGTTTTTTACATTACTAAAGTTTCCTATATGTTTTTTCTTGTTTCCAGTGTTCTTACATGCTAGGCACATACCACATCCAAAAAAAAACGTTTCTAGAATCAATTGGTTTTATATTGTGATCCTTTCGAATATGATTTCTCACTAATAATTTTTTCATATTGGAGGCCTTGCATTAAAACATGCAAGCAGATCGCTATTACTAATTACTCTTTATTTGCCAATTACAAATGATCAGCTCTATTTTTTGACACGTCACTTCCGGTCGCACAACTTTTGGTGACGTAGGCGGAAGTACTCCCCCCGTCTGACGCTTGATTTTCTTCCCCACTAGTTTCTTTCCGGCACGACACTTCCGGTGGGCGTAAACACCACCGCAAGGTGCACCTTAATTATTGTCTCCCCCTGGACCTTTTTCCTCCGGACAATGGTTCCGCTCTGTGGGTGTTCTCGGGGGAAATATTCGTTGAGACGCACAGCTTTAGGTGATGGCAAACGGAAGTGCTCCCCCTGATCAACGCTCGATATTTTCATTTAACTAGTTTTTAATTATTTCATTCAACTAGTTTTATACTAAATATAATCCTCAGTATGTAGGTTATTTTAATAGTTTTTGCACAAATATTGTTTTTAATGTATCCTTGTGAATAATGGAGGACGGAGGTGGTTGGCAAAATCATTCAGTGTTGCCACTTCCGCCAACCATACATATGATTGGTTATGCAAATTGTGTTACTGCCAATAAACATGATGTAACTAAACATTATTGATGATTGACAATGTTGTCAGCAAATGAGAATTTTTCCACCACAGATGTTTTTTTCTCAACACATTAATTAATTACACACCATGTGACTCCAAGAGGAGGACCCAAAAGAACTTCTGAACATTTAAAAAGAAGAAGGATTCCTGAGGCTACTAAACAGCTACTGAGGAAGCTCATAGAGTGAAACGTGTTTAGCTGATTATTTTGGACTTTTAATTGGACTTCAACTTGATTTTTTATTTTCTAGTATGTATTTATTTTGTTTTTATTGTTAATAAATATATATATTACTATTATTTTATACTTTAGTCCAAAGTCCTTTCTAGCCATCAGGAACTCCATTGGGGAGAGTGCTATTCCCCACAAAAAATAGCACATTGCTTTCTAACCTCAGAGCCAGGATTTCATGGCTCTAAAAAAGGTGAGCACTACTATTTATACCTTTTTTATACTAATATAGTATGTGCTTTTCTACACAGTTGCTTCTCTGTTTTCTCTCTCGTTGTATACTCCTGGAGTGAAACTGCCTGGCACAAAGGGGTGTTTGCTGCCCAAAGAGCATAAATGACCTTTTTTACGGAGCCAATACTATATAAGCTCCTGTCTATGTGAGTGGTTTAAGTCATTTATTACCATCAACTGTCTATTTGGATTAACCGTCTGCACTATATTGTTTTTGTTTTTCTTGTTCCCCCTTTTATGTCTATGTAAGTTTCTCAAGATTGTCACTGCACTAAAAGGGGGTGAGAAAACCCTTTCATTGTTTAGAGCGCTCCACTTGTCTGGTATAATCATTTATACCTAATTTTTGTATTTGTTTTTTATTGTGGGTAAGGGGTATTCCACTTTTAGTGTTGAGCAGCTTTTATCTTTTAGGCACTGTTAAGTAACACTTTCTATCTCTTTGAGATAGCTTGTTTGTTTTACATTAAAATGTAGTTATAACCCCATCAGCACAAGCTAGCGAACAACATTTCCAGAGCATCCAATAAGGGCAATGGTAGGGGTAGCCTCCCCTCCCACCTAGTGGTCACTACCAGATCATACACATCCTGGGACAAACTTACAGTCTAAAATGTCTGTGCATGAAAAGGGCTCCCTAATGCTTGATAACAAAGGTAATATACCCCAATACATGGGTAGTATTGTTATACTCGGGAGACTTCTTTGAACACAAATATGAGTGTTCTAAATCAGTAAAACGTTTTCCGATGATAAAATCACCAGTAAAAGTGCAGTTTTTGTGTAAAAAATGCAAAAAACAAAGAAAAATGCTAATTTTATTTAGCACAGGTTTTTTTGGGCAGTTGTAGATGCGTAACAGATTTTGGGGGTCAAAGTTAAAAAAAGTATGTTTTTTTTCAATTTTTTCATCAAATCAATCTAGAAAATGGAGATAGGATAGAAAGGAGATGGGCTTTAGCTAAGTGTAAGGGTGGTGGAGATGGGGGGATGGGAAAGCTCAGAACAGAGGAGGTATGTAATATTGATGAAAATTGACAAAAAGTACAAATGACTCATGACAATATTAAAAGTATGCTTACTAATGCAAGGAGCCTATATAACAAAATGGAGAACCAGAGGCAATAGTATACATTAAACAATATGATATAATAGGCATAACAGAAACATGGTGGGCATGACTGGGCAGTTAACTTAAATGGGTACACATTATTTAGGAAGGATAGGAAAAACAAGAAGAGTGGTGGAGTATGTTTGTATGTCAACCATGAGTTAAAGTCAAATCTTAGGCATGTGGAGTGTGACGAGAAAAATGTGGAAGCTTTATGGGTAGATATCTGCTTGGGGCAAATGAAGGGAAATCAATTATTGGTTGGGATATGTTATAAACCACTTAATGTAAATATTAATGAGGAAGAACAGCTGTTAGAGCAAAATGGGAAAGCTGCAAATCGGGGTAACACGTTAATTATTGGAGATTTTAATTACCCGGACATAAATTGGGATAGAGTGACTAGTACTTCAGTAAGGGGAATGTGTTAAATGACACCTTTATGTCACAACTGGTACAAGCACCAACTAGAAAGGATGCTTGTCTGGATCTCGTTCTAACAAACAATGTTGATCTTTTGACCAACATTCAAGTAGGGGTGCATTGGGAAATAGTGATCACAATATGGTAATTTTTAAAATAAACTCAAAAAAGCAAAAGTGGGGTATACTAAAACATATCATTTAAAAAAAGCTAATTTCAAGAAGATTAGGGAAGCTCTACAATATATCAACTGGTATAAACTCCTTAGTGACAAAAACACTGAGGATAAATGGAAACAAATATTAGAAAGGTAAATTTCTCAGTATGTACCATTGGGTAATAAATATAAAATAAACAAATTGAAACCAATGTGGCTTAGTAGAGAAGTAAAACAAAACCTCTGTATTTGATTTTCAAGATTCTTTTGTTTCAGGTATTGTACCGGAGGATTGGAGGAAGGCAGATGTCATTCCTATATTTAAAAAGGGTTCAAAATCCTTGCCTGGAAATTATAGACCTGTGAGCTTAACTTCTGTGACTGGGAAAATATTTGAAGGGCTATTATTATTAAGGGATAATATTCAGGAATTCATTGGGAAGAACTTTGTTATTAGCAATAATCAGCATGATTTTATGAAACATAGGTCATGTCAAACTAACCTAATTGCATTCTACGAAGAAGTAAGTAGAAGTATAGATCAGGGTGTTGCAATGGATGTGATCTACACAATAGGTTAGTCTTCAAAATAAAAGAAATCGGTCTAGATAAGCATTCTTGTTCTTGGGTAGAACATTGGCTTAAGGATAGAGTACAACGAGTTGTCATTAATGATACATTTTCAGGCTGGACAAAAGTGGTAAGTGGTGTCCCTCAGGGTTCTGTTTTGGGACCGCTTCTTTTTAACATATTTATAAATGATCTTGAAATGGACATTGAAAGCCATGCTTCGGTGTTTGCTGATGACACAAAACATTGTAAAGTGATAAAATGTGAGCAGGATATTGCTTTGCTGCAGAGGGATTTGGATAGATTGAGGGATTGGGCACTAAAATTGCAGATGACATTTAACGTAGAAAAATGCAAAGTTACGCACCTCGAGGTCAAGAATGCACAAGCAACTTACACCCTAAATGGCAGTGAATTAGGGATAACCACACACAAGAAGGATTTGGGAACTGTTATAGACAACAAATTAGGCAGCAATATGCAATGTCAATCTGCCGTTGCTAAGGCCAGTAAGGTTTTGTCTTGTATAAATAGGGGCATAAATTCTCAGGATGAAAATATAATTTTGCCTCTTTATAAGTTGCTGGTAAGACCACACCTTGAATATGCTGTGCAATTTTGGGCACCTGTTGTAAAAAAGGATGTCATGGCACTAGAAAAAGTGCAGACGAGCTACAAAATTGATAAAAGGAATGGAGCATTTTAGTTACGAAGAAAGGTTAAAAAATTTAAATCTCTTTAGTTTGGAAAAACGGCGCCTCAGAGGGGATATGATAACATTATACAAATATATTCGGGGCCAGTACAAACCATTATCTGGAAATCTATTCATGAACTGGGCTATACATAGGACACAAGGTCACACATTTAGGCTGGAAGAAAGGAGATTTAATCTAAAGCAAAGAAAAGGTTTTTTTTTACAGTAAGATCAATAAGGATATGGAATTCTCTGCCTGAAGAGGTGGTTTTATCAGAGTTCATACAGATGTTTAAACTGCAATTGGATAAATACTTGCAAAAACATAACATACAGGGATATAATTTCTAATTAGTGGGGTAATAGCTGCTTGATGCAAGGAAACATCTGACTGCTATTTTGGGGTCAAGAAGGAATTTTTGCCTAGTTTGTTGCAAAATTGGAAGCGCTACAGACTAGGTTTTTTGCCTTCTTTTGGATCAACAGCAAAAACATATGTGAGGAAGGCTGAACTTGATGGACACAAGTCTCTTTTCGCTATGTAACTATGTAACTGCAGGAGGTGGGGACAAGGTACCGGTGGCTTTTCCCATCCGGCCTATCAGTAACTTTGCTAGGGGGACCTGTAGTGGTGCGCACCCACGTGGACTTCATGCACTTGGCCATACCCCACTGAACATGAGGTGGCCAGACCCCTCTGATTTCTACCTGCCTGACACACTGGGACTACATGCCTTGCCACAGAGGGATCGACAGCCGCGTCAGGCAACCACCAGTGCTGCAGGAGTCCCTTCATAATGAGGACATGTATTCCTGCGAGCACAGAGCTCACCACCCTGGACCTGCTACCGATGACTTGCCGGCCTGACTGCCCTCACCTACTGCGATTTGGAATGATAGTTGGTGATCATTACCTGTGAACAGTACGACACCCCCTTCCTCTTAATCCCCCTTTCCCTCCACTTCTCCACCCCCTCCTGATCCTAGGGGGAGACTTTAACATCGCCATTGACCCACGGAAGGACACCTCGACAGGCACGTAAGCGATGCCGGAACAGGTCCTTCTGACAATCAGGTACACCTTCCGCACACACCGTCCTATAGATTGCTGGAGGGCCATGCACCCGACAGATAGGGACTACACAAACTACTCCCCCTTCCTTCCCCTCGCCTCCTTTATACCACATAGGGAGGCAAGTGACAACACCGCCAGGACCCTGTCCCTGATCCACCATGCTCAGCAGACCAACACAAGCCTGCTCTTGCTTTCAACTGATGCGGAGAAGGCCTTCAACAGAGTAAGCTGGGATTTCCTATTCAGCACGCTCTCAGCCCTAGGAATGAGGCCGAACATGTATAACTGGATTACCGCACTGTATACTGACCCATCGGCGAAGGTCTGCATTAATGGAACTTAAACAGTTTCATTCCACATCCGTAACGGGACCAGACAAGACTGCCCACTTTCACCTTTGCTGTTCGTATTGGCCCTGGAACCGTTCTTGCAGGCTGTCTGGAGAAACCCAGATATCAGAGGACTTGTGACAGGAGACTCGACACACAAGGTGGCTGCGTACGCAGCTGTCATGATCTTCTTCATCTCCCTGCTCGAGACAACCCTTCTGAATATAATACGAGAATTCGAAATCTACGGAAAGATCTCTTTAACTTTAAGATTAACCTCACAAAATCGAATCTACCCAACATTAACTTAACGGCAAAAAGGGCCGACGCACTACGCCAAAGCTTCCACTTCCACTGGTCTGAGAGGGTGATTAAATACCTGGGGACATAGATACCCC